GAGAGAGAGAGAGAGAGAGAGAGAGAGAGAGAGAGAGAGAGAGAGAGAGAGAGAGAGAGAGGTATTTTGATTCAAACCTGATGTTGACAAGAGAGGAGAGAATGAATGTTCATGAAAAAAAACTCACAAAACACAAAAAAGAGGTTAAGAGAGAAAATGGATAAAGTTTTTACACCAAAATAAAAGCAGTTTTGTTGGTAATTCAAAGAGTGAAGAAAGCTACCTTAAATTAAGTTTGAAGGTTTTTGTTATCCCCCCCCCCCCAAATAAACGTGACCATTTCAAAGAGCGCAACTTGTAAAGATTCAGCACATAAAGGGAACAACATCTAAAATAAACCCATTTAATAAAAACTGAAAAACAGCTTTAATTTGATGTTTTCTGTTGTTGTTGTTTTTCTTTTGGGGAAATTTTCTGAACAAAAGCCATCACATCCAGGTCTTCTGCCTGACAAAGACAAACCACAGCTTTGAATAGACTTATCTCCCAGATCAGTTTCACAGCATCCAGCTTTCCCATGTTTACATGTTTTGTTAATCTCTTCAAATGATCTTCTTATATTCAAACTCCAGGCAAATACTCGCACCACCTTCAGGTGCATTCCATTGTGTCAGAATTTTTGTTGGGGATCTGAAATTGCAACAGTTTTATATTTTCCACGTTTTTTTGCATTTCTTTCATCTTTATCGTTTAATGTTTGATACAAACCTACCAACTTTTTACCAGCTTCACACAAAGTGGTTCAGCTGAGTAGAAAGTACAACCTGTTCAATTCTTTTGATGCACCTGATATGGATTGTTACCTCCCACTTTGTCATTTGCATCTCAGGTCACCTCTGAGGTATTAAACAACATCTCCTGACATGCAGACAATAAAGCCATTTAACAATGGCAGAAACTCCTGATAATGAATACATGGAAATGGACGCCGACCAGTGGGAAGGCAATAATGATGACATTTATGAAAACGCCGACACGCTTGGTATAGTTACAGGTGATAGAGGACAGAACAAAGACAGTACAAACAAGAACCCAAACTCTCTTCCGTCAAGGTACATTACCATCAGACGTCCTGCACGGAGCCAAAACAAAGGAGCTTGGAAAAGAAAACCATTGGGTAAAGTACTTTTTTTTTTCCTAATGTACACAAACTAAAGCACAAACACAGCATTGTTGTGGTAACTTAATATTCTCTTTTGTTTAGATATCTTCAGTTTCACCACAGTGGGCCTGGTGGTGTTTTGCATCCTGTTAATTGCATCGGTGATCGCTCTGTGTTTTGCTTGTGAGTCTCCGTTTATTTTCTACAATCTTTTGCAAGCTTCAAAACCTAACATGGATTTTTTTTTGTAAATTCCCAAAGAATTGGTAAATTGGACATTTTGCATGTTTTATTACACAAGGTTTTTTGCACTGTAAAGCCTGACTAGGCCCACTTTGGCTCCAGGTGGCCCAGCCCTACTCTATTCTGGCCTTTCTTGTGTTTGCATTGGGCAGGGAACCACCTCGATGTAGATGGGATCATAATATTAAACAACCGCAAATCTTATTTTGTTTTTTTGCGACAAAACAATAACGAACTACACCAAACTCCAAGGAAAAGTACGTACTATTGAACCGGACCATCCAGCAGTATGACTCTTAACACAAGAAGGCAGGACAGAGTAAGCTTGTATTAGTTTTATGTTAGCTTCTTGTTGTGGTTTGGTAGCCTGCTACTGTTGTTTGATTAAACTCGTGTGAGAAAAATGTTATAAATGCTGCAAGCGAGTCTTGTAAAATTACTGTCATCTGTGTGATATAACCCCATTTTTATTATCATTATCAGGTGGTTGAAAAGTTTCAGGAGTATGAGGCTATTCAGAAAACGTAGGAGGTTGACCCTTTATAAAGTGACATTGTTGAACATCAATAAGGCATTTCCGTTGCATTTGGAACAAGACTGGTAGGGTGTTTGTAGAGTCCAAAATCTGCCGTTTATGAGGACAACTTGCTAATTGTTTTATTATGTGTTAAAGAGTGCTGAGTTATTTTTTGCTAGAATGCATGTGTATAATTTAACAAGAGTTTTGAACTTTTTACTGTTTGTTATTGTTCCGTCTGCAATTAATACCCATATTATAGCGAAATCTATCTGGCCAATTTCTGGTCCACACAACACACTCGGCCCAGAAACCACAAAAAAATGACGGCCCTTTGGTGGCCCAGATGTGGTTTGCCAGAGAAGGTCCACGCATGGGCCAGCACCACATAAACCAAACCGCAGTTGGGCCGGTGGTTGCATGCCATCTTATAAACAGTGCCGTCATTGCCAGACCTGGCCCACATCTGGTTGGCAAACCACTTGCCATGCCAGCAGTCAGCCAGCAGTACCAGCTTGACACCAGGGGCCTCATGTATCAACGGTGCATATGCACAAAAACCTTGCGTACGTCATTATCCACGCAAATCTCCGGATGTATCAAAACTCAACTGAACGTGGAAATGTGCGCAGCCCCACGCCAACTCCAGGGCTGGCGTTCGCACGTTTCTGTGGCTTTGGTTCCAATGGCGACACTTAGAGGTGATTCTGAGAAACTGTTCATGATGTGAAAATGATTATTGTTCACAGCAGACACWCATGATTAACAATTATTACATCCACATGATTAACAATTATTACATCCACATGATTAACTCAGTCCAGTCCACCCAAAGCAGAGTTATGACCAACAGAATCGTATCATCTATGATTCTTAAGGCAGAGTTATGGTCGCGCTCTGGAGCGCGCGCACCCTCGCCGGCAGTGGAGGTGTTTCATACGTTGCTGTAGATTTCTCCAAAATGACACGTGGAAGTATACTTTACAACTTGTGAAAATGCTATAAGTAGGAGAGCCAAAGCTTGACAGACAAACAGACTGCACACAAAGGCTGCGGTGCGTGCAGCGTTTGTGGAGACTCTCCAACATCACGTCACATCATGAAAACTACTGAGACGCAGAGACTCGTTTCTTCATATCAGCTATGAAATAAACTAAGATCCATGTTCTACCAAACATTTAAGTTCCTCTGTGTTTACAGTAATTACGGTAATAAACTCCTGCGCAAAGTTAATATTTTCAGACTCAGAATGGATGGATGAGCTGGTTGCGCAACACAGCAGCGTGCACACAATCACTCATTCTTTGCGTGATAAACATACTGTATTTTATTCCTATTTTTACTTAGGATTTTTTTTCACACACATTATATTTAATTCGTTATTTTTATGACTAGAAATCATTTCTGATCACGCAGGGATCACTCAAATGTGTCCCTCACACATGCAGGAAGTAATTTGCATCTGTTTAACTATGTTAATGAAGCCGTGTCAGGGAGGTGTCTTACCTGCGCTCAGTTCCACGTTAATTTTGATGTACAAAAGCAATGTGCGTGAATTCCGGCGTACGCACAGTTTGATACATCTGGATTTTTTTGTGCGTACGCCGTTTTCTGGATTTGACCGTACGCCAGGTTTCAGTAAGAAATCCACACAAGTCTTTGTACATGAGGCCTCAGGTCTGGCCCACACCTGTGTGCATTGTGGTGAAGTAAGAAGATCAATCACCGTATGAAATATATGAAAACTTCTGGGTAAATATTGGTCAATTCACCAGCTGCTGCACCTTTGAATCCTATGTATTAATATATCTGAAACCAGAGGTTGCTTTTTATTGTGCTGTTTTGCATAAGTCTGTGGAAAACAATAATGATGTAAAAGAAAAGACCTGTGTACTGTTGTAGTAAAGTAAAAGTGCTTCCTTCTTGTTTCTCCCATAACAGACGCCAGACTGGCTTGCATTCATACAAGCATGACTGACAGAACGGATGAACTGATTCAGAAAAACAACATGTTAGAAGCTTGGCTTAGTGGTAAGTTTTAAAATAAAAATAAATGCTTAAGGGAACAGAACTTCTGGGTTATGGTTTCTTATGCTGACAGAGTAAAAGAGTGAGAATAAAAATGAACAGACAAAAACATGAAATGTACAAAATATTTGCCTAAATGCATTAAAAAGAAGATTTATTATCAGTTTTTTCCTCTTTGAAGAGATCAAACAAAACCAGTCTTGGTCGAAGTATCACATTTCCAGCACTGCGTACCCCGACTGTCTCTCTGGGTATGACGTGTACGTTGCTCATCTTCAAGAGCTTCAGGTGAACATGACACATCCAGATTTCATTATCTGTGTACATGCGTGTATAAAAAATCCTGAAGGTTTTGAAACAAAATTTTCAATCTAAACAGAAACTTTTTTTCATTTCTTTTGTCTTGACAGAATTACGTCCTGATGGATTCATTCTATCTGTATTACGATGGCAATGGAACATGCTCCAACCATTACGCCTGGAACTGTACATGTCAGTCCACCTGAGACCAACAAGGAACCCAAGCATATTTAAGCAATCTATGTGCAACCTAAAAATAACTCTTTGGTCATATTTTATAGCTTTAATATGCTCTAAATAAAATGTTATTTCTGTACAATAACAAATGTAGTTTATTATTCCATATGCGTCTTTTACTCTTGCTTTTAAACAATGTATCTAATAAATCTAATCTAATGTAATCTAATGATGCTTACTAACTTCCTTACTGCTTGGGCTCATCAGTTCCATTTTGGATTACTCTGTTCAAACTAAAAGTTATACTGCAGTTATACTTCCTTGTTACAGATTGCTAGAAGTGTCTGTTGTTATAAATATTCTAAGCAAGTAATTAGTCCTAATGTATCTTATTACTGCTATGCTCATAGACCTAAACTCCTCTAACAAAAAGTTACCCATAGATTGGTCCCATCAGAAATCATGTGCAAAGTTCTGTTCAGTTAGAAAAAAAATTGACAAAGTGCACTTGTGAGGCGCCTCCCGTAGGGGGCAGAGAAGTAACGTAGCTCCATGAAGCCTTTCATGCAGGATGCATTCTGACACTTACGTAATGGCAAAAGGCCCCCATCAGCATCTAGTCTGCACTTCCATTGATATCATAAGGATGTATATCTACAACACATTGTTCAAAAATCACTGGTAAAGGAATAATAATAGAATCACACTGGGAAAGTGTGCTCTTTCACCTTGTATCTACTTTTTAAAACCTGAAAAACACTGGGTAACACATAGATGCATAAACAGAAAAGAGGTGGTATTTTTACACAAACACACAAACGAACACAGTATTTCCTCTCTGCTGTGCAAGAAACAGGAAGGGGAAACGCAGCTTCCTGTGGAAGAATGGGTGGAGGTGGGTCTGACTGTTGAGAATATGCAGCAGTACCACTGCCTGTGATTTGAACACCATTGCCTCAGGGTGTTTCTAATGCTGCTTTCTAATGAGTTTCTGTGTTGCTACTAATACGATTGGCACTATTTACACCAGTGAGCCTATGAGAGGCTTTAAGGTCATTGGGCCATGGGTCGGGTCAGCGGGACTTTTGTCTCTTATGGTGCGTTCACACCAAACGCGATTTCAGCGTCAGGAGCAGCAGGTTTACATGCAAAGTCTAT